TGACCTGAATTTTGATACATTCCACCGAATTTAGTCTAGAAGCAAGTACATCAAATTTGGAGAAAATCGGTTCTGATATAACTATAGCTTCCATATATATGCTTCATCCTATTTGCGGTTTTAAGTCCCTCACATGCGTAATATGCACTCCAGAAGAATGATATTTGGCATCGGACATCATTAATTCTGCTCGGCATTCATTCTGATGCCACGATCGATTATTACGAGTGGAGAGCAACCATCGGCTGTTATGGCGGCCCACAATGGACTGAATTTTGGCAATTATGACTAAATTCATCCAATAAACCAGTGCTTTAAAATTGGTGTAAATCGGTTTAGATATACCTATAGCTGTCATATATATATTTTATCCGATTTGCGGTTTAAAGTACCTGACAACCGTAATATACATTCCACAACAATGATCTTTGGTACCAGAAATCAGATACAGCTCTGAAATAAGTGTAACAAATTTTGTCAAGATCGGTTCAGATATGGATATAGCTTCCATATATATCCTCAACCTATTTCGGGTTAATTGTGCACCAAATAGCCAATATCAGTGCATATGACCTGAATTTTGGCATATTCGATCGAATTCAGTCTAGAAGCAAGTACATCAAATTTGGAGAAAATCGGTTCAGATATTGCTATAGCTCCCATATATATATATGTTTCATCTGATTTGGTGTTTAAATCCCTCACATTCGTAATGTGCATTCGACAACAATGATATTTGGTACCAAATTGCTTATAAAACTCGGAAATGCTTTTGCCAAATTTTATCGGGAACGAGTAAGATATGATATAGCTCCCATATATATCCTTAGTCCGATTTCAGATTTATTGTGCAAATAATTGCTAACATCAGCCCAAATGGAGCGAATCTCGGGACGTACGTTTCCATTTTGTGCAACTCGGCTCCGATACATATTTTTCTAATATAATCCTTCTCCAAGTGATTCCGTGCACTCTATAGCAAACTATAACTGCTCTACAGCCAAATGTTGATAGGTGGTATGATCTACTTGAAATAAATTCTTTTGTTACGGGAGCTCTACTAAATATGCATAGTGGTGTAGGGTATCACATAGTCGGCCCCGTCCAACTTTTGACTTTTTCTTACTTGTTTTAAAAAGAATTTTGTGGAAGAAACTCAAAGGGGCCAGATTGATATCTAAAAAATCAAGTTCTAAGAAATTTGGTATAAAGCAAAGGAAATTCTTAAAAGAATTGGTATATAGCTCTGGTCTATAGTCCAATTTTTCTATATTTTTTCAAAAAAAAACATTTTTTTTTTTATTTTTTTAACATTTGGACTCCTTTTAAAATCGAAAAAATTGCCAAAGGAATTTTCGTAAAAAAAATTCCATACCTCAACAGACAAAAACAAATCCCTTTCTCATAACACATAAATTCCAAGCATGTCATGGTTCACATTTGGAATATTTGCAAAACACAAATGCGACGACGACGCCTTGGCAGATTTCACAATCATTTATCAAAAAAGGATTGGCTTTTTTGTTCTATTCCTTTTTTACCTTTTGTTTGCACCGCAAAAATTTCTCTCTAAAATGCCGCATTTTTCTTAGCTTTTATTTGAGAAACAACAAAAAAAAGAGGAAAACAAAACTTGTAACAGCTCCTTATTTGTGTAGCCCCTTTCAATGTCATATATATAGAAAACGTAGCTCTGTGGTGCTGGGTTTTTTCCAAAGGCGCGCAAAATACCCCCACCTTTAAATTCTGAAATCAGCGCCCAGCCGACAGCGTGCCTCGTTGGCGTATTCCTTGGCTTGTTATTTTATTTCGGTTATCTGATCATCGTAAATTATTCTCACTTTCATATGAACAATACACAACTCCCTCCCGCTCTCCCTCTCTCTGCCCCTCCCCCCACAAAAAGGAGTAGCAGCAGGCGTATTTGGTTTTACTTTGTAAAGCCTGATTCTTTTTTTTTTTTTTTTTGTCAACGTTGTGTGATTTATTTAAAGAATTCCATGTAAAACATAGTTTTTTGTCAAGCAATTGATCATGTTCCATTTTAAATAAAACTTTAGAGTGCAATAAATTAAGGGGAGAATCAACGGATTGATGGATAAGATATGAAGAGGTATATTAACTCGTTGCTATGACAGGATAGGACTTTTGAGAGGCTTTGGAAAAGCCAACCAAGGGGAGTTTACATAAGTTTACAAAGTATCTTTATTCGGTGGCTTCCATATTGAAAACCATAAGACATCGGAATGAACAAATTTTTACAAAATTTAAAATTTATATTTCGAAAATTTTTTCTTAAGAATTTTTGAGATCTAAAACTGAATAATATCTATAGAAATAATTTTTAAGAACAATCAGCGATAAAATATAGGATTTTAATTTTTTTTACTTAAGCTTAAATTCTGGATTTTTAATAAACATATTTTTATAACTTCCATTTTTTACTTAGGAAAATTTAAGAATTTTCTTGGAATTTCTTCAACGATTTTTGAGAGTTTGTGAGAGACAATTTTATAAATTTTTCTGAATTTCTTCAACGATTTATGAGAGTTTGTGTCAAGCAATTTTATGATTTTTTTTATTTATGAGAAATTCCAACAAGTAACAAGTACAAAAGCAGCAAAGTTCCGCCGGGCCGAACTTTTAAAACCCTCCACCATTCTGAAGGAACTTGAAAAATTTCAAAAAAATACGGCTCAAAGGAAAACCGTTATATGGGGGCTATACGAAGACGTGGTCCGGTATATATATTTTTTGTCGAAGACTGTATAACCCTTTACGAATTTTAAATACGAAATTTTAAACAATTCTGGTAAAAAAAAATTTTGCTAAAATCATCAAAATAACGAATATCGGGGGGTACCGCCGTATGAGGGATATACGATATCGTAAACAATTATCTTCCTGGGGTTAAAATACTCAGAAGGAACTCCTTGTGTAGAATAGTCAATTCCATTGAAAAATGTGGTTAAAATCATCAAAATACCGAATATAGGGAAGTACCGTCATATGGGGGCTAGACGATATCGTGGACCAATATAGCCCCGTTATTCGATATTTTGATTTTAGTCACATTTTTCAATGGAATTGTCTAAAAAGGAAGACAATTGTCCATAAGGTATACGATATTGTATATCCCCCATATAACGGTACCTCCCGATATTCCGTATTTTGTTGATTCAATGGAAATGTCTAAAATTCCACAAATAGACCCTCCACCCCCCATATATTCCGTACTTTGATGATTTTAGCGACATTTTGTTTCAAATTTCGTATTTAAAGTCCGGAGTTGGTACTACAGCCTATGAAATTACTTATGCACTTGTCCACGTCTTCGTATGGCCTCCATATAATGGTATTCATTTAAGTGGTACTTTTTCGGCGGATGTTTTTTGTGGAATTTTTCAAGATCCTTTAAAATGGTGGAGGGTTTTGAAAGTTCGGCCCGGCGGAACTTATCTGCTCTTTTACCTTTGTTTAGATGTTATTCCAATATTTTTTTATTTAATTCGTAACATTTCAATTCGAATTATTTCAGTTGTAAATCGGGAATCCCAAATGTAATTCGAATAATTCCATTAGTATTTCGAATTATTCAATTTGTATTTCGAATTATTCCATTTGTAATTCGAATTATTCAATTTATAATTCAAATTTTCTAAATTTGTTCTTCGATTTTTAAATGGAACATTTCAATTTAGAATAGGAATAAATGGAATTACGAATGAAATAATCCAAATTAAAATTGAAATAATTCGAATTATTAAAACTACAATAGAATAATTCGAATTAAAATTGGAATTCTCAAATAACAACTGAAATAATTTGAATTTCATTTGTAATTTTTGAATTATAATTCGAATGATTTGTTGTAATTCAAGAATAGAATTCTCAAAATATAATTGAAATATTTCGAATTACATCTAAAAAAGATGTTCGGTTTTGAGTCGTATAAGTAATATTAATAAATAATTATTATACGTTATTAATATTTTTATATTATTATAAGAAGTTAGAAACAAACAGAATAGAAATTGTTGTTTTTGTGAAAAACTACAAATGCACCTGATACCTTACCACATGTTGGATATCGACAATATTCAATTCAATAATAAAATATAAATAGATGCTTAATCAAATGTGTCCAATACCCTTTTCACCCTTACAAAAAAAAACCGGTTCCGTTTGTCACAAATCTACGATAAAAAATGTAAATTATTTAATGGTGATAAAATTAGAATAAAATTTACAATAAAAAACGTGCAGCATTACAATTTGAAAAAAAATGCTTCCGACCTCACGTTCATCATGAAGTCGATTTATCACATTCTAATGTGAACAAACATAAACTATAAAAAAATATTCAATATTCATCATGTTAATCATAAAAATGTCAGTTACACGTGTTCACAGAAAAAGGTATTGAATTAGAATTCAATTGGAAGAAGGAAACAAAGAGAATTTTATGATCACCGAAATTACCTAATATAAGGATGCTATGAACCATAGATCAAGCCCAGCCAACTCGTGTCTCCACTGAGCATAATTCCTTCCACCCTCACAATCAGGCCATTTGAAACAATGGCGGATACGACTATCCACTGGTGTCACTGTCCAAAAAAGAGATCATTTAAGGGAAAAGAAAAATAATATATTTCTTTATATTTAACGATTTATTTCAATTGTTTTTTTTTAACATAAATGGTGTCCAAGATTATTTATAAAACGTATTTATACAAAAATTGTATAAATGAAGTTTTAACACTTACTTTGATAATTAAAAAAAAAACTAAGAGAAATTAGACTGGCGAGAGAGCCCATGCTCTTTTTTATGACCTACCACATCTCTTATATACGTAGAATTCCTTATGATAAAAACTCCTTTTCTCCATTCACAATTTGTAACTCATAACACTCTCTCTGTCTCTGTCTCTCTCCCTCAAACTTTCTCAATTATAAACTAATAAATTCCCCCTTTCTTTTGCTCTCCATTTTTACAGATATATTTATCACAATTTGGTTATCTACCCGCCTCCGCCCGCAATCCCGCCAATGGTGGTCTCTTGGATGCCAACACCTGGACCAAAGCTGTACAGGATTTCCAGAGTTTTGCCGGCCTAAATGTGACCGGTGAATTGGACGACGAAACCATGCGGCTAATGTCAATGCCACGTTGCGGTGTTCGTGACAAGGTTGGCTTCGGTACCGATAGTCGTTCGAAGCGTTACGCTCTCCAGGGCAGCCGCTGGCGTGTCAAGGCTTTGACCTATAAAATTTCCAAATATCCTAAACGTTTGAAGAGATCCGATGTTGATACTGAAGTTGCCAAGGCGTTCAGTGTGTGGAGTGAATATACCGATTTGACCTTTACGCCCAAAGCGTCGGGACCCGTACATATTGAAATCAAGTAAGTGGGAATGGGGTGGTAATAGCAAAAAGAAAAATTGATATGTTAATTTATTTAATTTCGGTCGTTTTTTTTAAATATGGCTAAAAACTCCATTTTAACAGGGTTCGTAGCAACATGTAAAGGACTTAAAAAAGTATAGCCTAAAACCCCGAAACTCCTTTGGATGTTTGATCCACCAAGTAGTTCCAATAAGTCCACTTGGAATTTTCCAAAATCCAGACTGGTTCTTGCATAGCAAAATTATAAAAAACTTTGCGGCGAATTAAGAAATAGTACTATTTTTTCAAAAATAAACAAGGTTTGAGGATTTGATGATATTTTTTCATGGCCTATATTGTATCCACAAATTTCTTTTGCTCAGAGACTCACAATGAAATTTTATATAGATTAATTCTTCCTTTGACACTTTCCTCCAAAACTGAAGTATAACGGGAGATTTTGACCTGGATTGGAAACGTCTTAAATTAAGAGTAAAAAATGCATAATTTGCACTTTAAGTACATAAATATCGAATGTAATTCTTATGAAAATTACTGGGCCTAGACCTATAGTTTATTTTGAGATTTACAATTAAATTTTGTCTAGAATATTTCTTCTTTTGATATCTTCTGCCTAAAACGTAATTTAATGTCACTTTCATGCGTCTATTCGAAAAAAGGTCGAGAGAAAATTGATGAAAAATATTAGGAAATAATTTCGGTTTTTATGGGAACTTCGATGTTTTTTAAATATACAATGAAAATAGAGATATCTTTCCTTTGGTAACTAATAGTGAAAATTGATGAAGAATCTTTTTGTCTTGACGTCATTATTCTAAAATCATGCTTTGTTGGAGATTTTGGCACAAACTCACATAAAGTACAGATTTAACCCTAAAATTGATTTTGGGTTGAATTCCTGGCGTTTGGGTAAGATTTAGACTTTTGACATCCTCTAGGACCCATAGTAGAATTTTATGACAAATAATTTTGTAGAATATTTTGACTTGCTACGAACCCATTTAAATGGATTTTTAACCATATTTTCCAATATTCCTCCTATTTTTATCAGCAATATTGCCAAAGACACAATTCTACTAAAATGCACGGATTCCGAGGAAACTTAATCCGAAATTTTCCAAAAGTGTGGAGAAGAGGGGAAACTTGACGATGAAAACTTTCAAAATTCTGATATACATGTTTATTGATTTCAATACTGCAGGATTTTCCCCGTGATTTTTTTTTTGTGTTGCACAGTGTTATTTATTTAATTCCTAATAATTCTGTTTTGTTTATAAGCCTTTATTATTTATTTATTAATTTATCAATTTCTCTCCCTCTCCCTTTTTTCTCTCTTCAGATTTGTGGAAAGTGAACACGGTGATGGCGATGCTTTCGATGGTGTTGGCGGTACCTTGGCCCATGCCTTCTTCCCCGTCTTCGGGGGCGATGCTCATTTTGACGATGCCGAACAATGGACCGTAAACAGCCCACGTGGCACCAATCTGTTCCAAGTGGCCGCCCATGAATTTGGCCACTCCTTGGGCTTGTCACATTCCGATGTACGCTCTGCCCTCATGGCTCCATTCTATCGTGGCTATGAACCTGTCTTCAAACTGGATACCGATGATGTTTTGGCCATACAGGCATTGTATGGTAAGAAGTCCACACAGAACGGCAATGGTTTGAATCCCACAAGTGGTGGTGCCTTCCCAAGGACAACACAGCGACCGGCTTTCACACCACCGCGGGCACCACGTGACGATGTGATTTGCAAGGATCCCAAAATTGATGCCCTCTTCAATTCAGCCGAAGGTCAGACATATGCCTTCAAGGGTAACAAATACTATAAGTTGACGGAGAATTCCATAGCTGAGGGTTATCCCAAACTGATTGCCGAAGGATGGCCAGGATTGCCCGGTAAATGAAAAATAAAAATTATTTTTTAAACAAATTATTAATTTTTTGTTTCTTTTTTCTGTCCAGGTGACATTGATGCCGCTTTTACCTATAAAAATGGCAAGACCTATTTCTTCAAGGGTACCAAATACTGGCGTTACAATGGCCGCCAAATGGATGGTGACTATCCCAAAGAGATTAGCGAGGGCTTTACTGGCATACCCGACCATCTGGATGCCGCCATGGTTTGGGGCGGTAATGGTAAAATCTATTTCTACAAGGGCAGTAAATTCTGGCGCTTCGATCCCCTTAAGAGACCACCGGTCAAATCCAGCTATCCCAAACCCATTTCAAATTGGGAGGGTTTGCCAAATAGCCTAGATGCCGCTCTACAGTATACGAATGGTTATACCTACTTCTTTAAGGGTGATAAATACTATCGGTTTAATGATAGGACATTTGCAGTGAGTATTTGGGGGATGTGATTTTCAAAAAGTTCCAGATTTGGGTTTTAACATAAATTTCTAAATATTTTTTTTTTTGTTTTTCCACCTAGGTTGACTCTGCAGATCCTCCATTCCCCCGCCCCTCGGCCCATTGGTGGTTCGGCTGCAAGAACACGCCCTCATCAACAGGTAATATTGTGGATAACTCAGAGGAAAAAGAGTCTGCCTCATCATTCTTTGATTATGATAACGGTGATAATGTATTCGATGCAGGTGAGTGGAACCGACCAAGGACTAAATTATAAAAAACAAAACACACACAAATAAAAATAAAGATAATTTAAAAAATCTTTAGAACTAGGCCAAAATATTAAAAGAATATTCCAATTTTTTTCTAAAAGAAAGTTAAAAAAATTAATGTGATCTCTCAAATTGCTTGCTAATTAAAAAAATAAAAAAAAACTATCCCAGTCTCTTAAAAAAACCCCAAAAATAAAAACAAAAAGTGGTATGTTAAATTAAGTTTTATAAGTATTAGATTGTTATTTTAGTCCCAGCATACAACATACAACAGCATAACATAATTCAAATACATATAAATGTTTATTACTATACATACATATATATAATGATGTTATACATAAAAAAACCAACTAATAATGTTAAAACGAGTGAATTTATGCATTTTTTATATATTTATTTATTTTTCCTGAACGAAAAAAATAATATTAAAAATTTCTCTTAAAGAAAATTAATATCGAATGTTTTTCACTGTTACTGTTTTCCTTTTCTTTTGCTCTCTGTGCCTGTTTAACTCTTCTTCGATACTTTACATTTGTTTGCTTTACTCTTTCTCTCGCGCTCTGCTCTCTCTCTTTCTGTTTGTCTCTGTAAAGGAGTTTAGTTGTGCTTTTTCATTTACTCTCATATTTGATCTCTTTCATTTTTATCATTTCTTCTTTTTTTGTTCTTGCTCCATTTTACATCATTCGAAAATTATAAAAAATATGTATAAAAGGTCATAGGAAATTGAGTTAAGGCCTGAGTTGCGTATAAGTTATTTCAATTCAATTTTGGGTGCGTATGATTACCGGAAGTGAAATATTCCATATACCTCATAGGAAGAGAGTTCTTAAAGCTTTATAAATCAAGTTAATACTTAAAAAAATAAAAGAAAATAAAAAATATTTTGAAAATTAAAATTATTTAAAAAATTAATCTTTTTTTTAAATTAATGTTTTTTATAAAAATAAAATAAAAAAATGTATATTTATTACAAAAAATATATGTATCGAGATTTAAAGATATTGTTTATACCCAAAATAATTTAAATTATTTAATTAAATTAAAAAATTATTTATTTTTTTCAAATTTTTTTTCAAATCAACAAGTAGAAATAAATATATCAGATATTTTGAAATCTTACATAACCAAAAACAAGTAAAAAACAGGCCGGGCTAAACTTAAAATACTCTCTACCATTTGGAACGAATTTGGAAATTCTCAAAAATAACTTCCGCTAAAAATTCTGTTCAAATCTTTAAAAAACCGAATAATAATCATCAAAGAACCGAATATCGGGAGGTACCGTTTTATGAGGGCTATACGAACACGTGGACTTGCACAGAAAACTTTCTGTCATAGGCTGTAGTATCCATCACGAACTTCAAATGCCAAATTTGAAACAAGTCCGGTGAATAATGACGTTAAAATCATCAAAATACCGAATATCGGGAGGTACCGTTATATGGGAGATATACGAAGACGTGGACCTTTGGACAATTTTCTGTCATAGGCTGTAGTACCCATTACGAACTTCAAAAACCAAACTTGAAAAAATTCCGGTAAATAATTTCGTTAAAATCATCAAAAACCGAATATCGGGATGTACCGTTATATGGGAGATATACGAAGACGTGGACATGCACAGACAATTTTCTGTCATAGGCTGTAGTACCCATTACGAACTTCAAAAACCAAATTTGAAACAAGTCCGGTAAATAATTTCGCTAAAATCATCAAAATACCGAATATCGGGATGTACCGTTATATGGGAGATATACGAAGACGTGGACCTACATGACCCATTTTCTGTCTTAAGCCGTAGTATCTATTATGAACTTTAAATACCAATTTTGAAACAATTCCGATACATAATGTCGCTAAAATCATCAAAATACCGCATATCGAGAGATACCGTTATATGGGGGATATAACATAACGTGGACCTACATGGCCCTTTTTCAATACCAAAAGTCCTGCAGATATAATACACATTTGAGTAAAATTGTATCAATCTACTTCATTTCGTTCGGAAGCTAGAGTGATTTCCACAGACGGACGGACATCACTAAATCGCTAAATTGACATAGAATTTTATGCTCATCAAGAATATATAACTTAATATACCATACTATGGTGGAGGGTATAAAAATCATGAATATAACTCTTATAGCCTGTGAAAAATTAAAAAATCAATCTTTCCGGTATAGCAGCCATAGTCTTTAAAAATATATTTTTTAGCCCTGAGAGTTCGGAAGGTCAAAGAATTAACATTTAAATCAATAGTTTTTAAATTAATATTTTAAAAATCAATGTGATAGTCTTTGAAAATATTATTATTTTTTCAAATCCACCATAGTTCAGAGAATCGGAGGAAATTTTTTTCGTAATCCACGATAGCTCAGAGAATTGGAGAAATGTTTTTTCATATCCACGATTGTGGGTCTGCTAGTTTTTGGAAAAATATTACTTAAATATATTATATATATATACATATATTTTCTTAGGGATCAACTAGCCTTTGTAAAAATATTGAAATTTCTCTGATTTTAAGTCGTATGATTAAATCGTAGTTACAAATCTATCATACGCACCCATGACCATAATTATTATTATTAATTATACGCAACGAGGGCTCATTTTTTGCTCATCCCTCAATTGCATTAACTCTCCGTTTCATTTTACATTTTTATTGTTTTGAAATTTAAAGAAAAAATCCTTGAAAATAAAATGTTTCATGCGAGGTTTTGGTTTCTTATATGTGCCATAGGTATCGCTGATTTCAAAAGTTTGCTAAGCAAAAGATTCGAAATAATTTAAATATATATTTTTGGATATAGTACCTGTGTTGCTTAGCATTCTTTACATGTATGTAAATATTTATTTTTTCCCATGTTTTTTTCTTAACTCATGTGCCTATGTAAATGGGGTAAGTAACTTTCAGATCCTGTTCTAATTTTAATTTTGGGGAATAAATTCATTACAAATTTCTTCTTAATATCATCGCAATATATATGAATTAAAAAAATCATATTAATACCATAATGCAATCATAAAACTTAACCTTAATTTTAAGAATATAAAAAAAACTTGTTTATATAATAAATATAACACATAATCTAGCATACCATGTACATTTCCAAACAAAAATAAAAGACAAAACAAATATTAATTTTTTATACCACAAAAAAAAATACTAAAAACATCCATTACAGTTTTGGCAATGAGAAACTGCAACACCCCCCTCAAAAAAAAAGAAAAATATTAAAAACAAACTAATAGGAAATTTTTGGTATTTAAAAGTTAAAAACTAAAATTTTCAAATTCTACCCCCCTTTCCCATTAAAAAAATAATAATAAACCACAACAACAATCACACCAATAAACACACTCTCAAGATGGAGAATTTGTGTTTTTTGTCGCGGGTCAACTGGTCGGTTTCCACTAATCCTAATTGGATACAAATTACTGATATTATATAGAAATTTTTGTACGAAATATTATAGCAGCACTTTGAATGCCACTTACCATGTTACTAACCTTTTAAAGTTTATATGCATAATAATTTATTGATCAATATTTTTTATTTTAAATTTTCTTACACATGACAAATGTTCTAACACAATTTTTATAAATTTGTTGTGGGTTTTAAGCAATGCTAAATAACTTTCATTAATTTCCATACTAACAATATTTTTTATATTAAAAATAACACTTCATTTCCTTCTTAAATTTCAAAAATAATTATCATATAGGGGATCAATTTTTGGTAAAAAAAATATTTATTTTTTATTGTTTTTGTATGTTGTTCTTTTCCCCCCATTTTAATTTAGTTTATAATGTTTTTATTTTTATTATTTTTTACACTAAACCTGAACGTAGCATTCCCCCTCTCTTTTGTTTATCTAAAACAAAATTACTCTTTGTAATTTGTTTTTGCTCTTTGTTGCCACCCAACCACCCACCAACAAAGCCCTTTGGTTGATGTAGTATTCTCTCTTTGTTGTTCGTTCTCCTTAGTTGTAGTACTTTTCACCAAATGTGTTCTCTTCACTTTCTCACTATGCTCTATGCCTGTTTGTATTGTTGAGAAAATATACTCCCTCTCACATTACACTGGGCACAAACCAATCGAAAAAAATAATTGTTGTTATATTATGCAGTTGTAGTCCAACAAAAAATATTGTATGCATGTATAATAAATTGAAACTTTTTTTGGCATTATATATAAGAGAAGCCTGCAATGTTTTCTCATGGCTCAAAATTTGCATGAACATTTTTGTTTGGTATTTTTTATTAAATGTTTGCACGTTAACCACTCGAAAGAAAAAGAAATTAATCCCCAAAATAAAGATTCATTTAACATGGGTTCGACGTTCCATGGATAAAGGTTCGGATTTGAAACAAAAACAACATATTTTTGAAAAATAAACATATCTGGAGAAAAAAATCATAAAAAATGAATCTAAATTTTAATTTTTGTTACTAACCATACACTTGTCTAAACCAAATACACCTTTAAAAAACACAAATTTGTTTGCCATAAGAATACAAATATTCCTCCAAGGAGGATAGAGGTAGATTGTCAGAAAGAGAACTCTGAAAACAATCGGTCTTTTCCAGAACTGCAAGAATGGAAAAGTTTTAACTGCGATAGTCGATTCGAAAAAAAAAATGAAAAAAGAAGATTCTTGCAGGTTCTGAAACAGATGTCTGAAAAATAGTAATTTAAAATCACTCTCAAAGTGGAGTGACACAGTTTACAACTCTCATGTTCTTTAAATACCCCAAACTTTACAAAACTACTCATAATCAGGAGTTATCCAACTGTTATACAAACTTCCATAACTGTTATACACAGCAAAATCCTTATCAAATCCATTAATTCCCCAATAATTTGCAACACACTTCTAATAGATGTGTTTAAGAACTGTTATACGAATTTCTATAACTGTTATATACTCCAAAAATTCTTAACGCATCCATTAAGT